TTTTTTTTTTTTTTTTTCGTGGATAAGACTAAAATTTTTGCTGCATCAATGAATGATTTTTTGGTTACAATTATAAAAGTGAATAAGAAATAAGCTATGCTATTTGTATTTAAACTATGGAACAGTATATCGTAAATAAAAAAAAACGATGCAACGAGATAAGTCCATAAAACATTTGTTGATGCCATTGTTTCATCCAACATCTTTTCCTTTTTCTTTTGCTTCTGTTGCAGTCACTGCTGCTTCTCGTTAAACCTCGACAACTTTAAATTGCCAAATCTAAAGGTGCTTTACAATTACCGATAAGAAAATTGGAAAAATCTTCCAACTTTAACTGTTTAAATCTCTTGTAATTGTAATAAAACACCATTTGACAGTTATTTGGCAATTCACCAACCTAATGAACTAGTTCAAACTTTTATAATTTGATCAAAACGTTACTATGCAGCAAAAGGAACAGAAGAAAATAGAGCAATCTCTGTTTATTTGTGTCTGTGCGCACTATAAAGAATCAAGTTGGCAGTGCAACAGCTTTTAGTAAATCAGTGATCAACATCAACATTTGTTCAAACCCAATTTGTACTGGAACAAAAAATTTTGCAAAATTTCAAGTATCAAACATACAATTTTTGTTTCTAAAAAATCGAGAAAAAATTTTTTTCCACAACAGTTGGCTAGCTTTCTTTTTTCTTTTTTCCTACAACGAAACATCTTTTCTGACGTACGCGTTCGCCAGAACAATAGCATAACTTCTTGTTGGTACCGCTAGCATCAATAAAAAAACTGCCGAACTTTCAGAGAAAAAGGAAAAAATTGTTTGATCGAAAAGCAAACACCATTCTTCCCATTTCTATTCACTTCCCCAATATGTGATACTGGCGACGGTTTAAATCCACCAAAATAAATCACTTCCGAACGATGCAGACTGAACTTTAGAGAACTGAAATATCGCCCCGACTCAATTTTCCTCTCATGTCATTCGTTTTTTACCCAAAATGATGACAGCTTAAGATGTCTAGTGTCAAAAAAAAAAAACTTTCAACATTTTTGTCCAAAGACCAATGTCTAGTTGTATTGTATAATCAACCAAATAACATCGTCGTCTTCAAACAGATTCGCAGTGAAACAGAAGTTCAAGGACCGAGAGAAACAATTTTATTGGGAGATAAATCATTTTACAAAGCAGCAAAGGCAGCAACACACGATTACAACCTAATCGACTTCAATAACAAAAGACTTCCTCCGCATATAATTTCCTTCCCATTAATTTACCAGCCAAACCGTACAGTTGCCTTCACCACTGTTTCCGACAAACAAGTACCAAATCTCCACTTACCCAAAAACTAAAAGTAAACTACTTACGTAGGACACATTGTATCACAAAGAAAAGTAAAACTTTAACACCGCTTCTGAAAGATGTTGAAATTTTACATAGCTGTTCAACTTCTCAAAAGGATTTCTTTTGAAAGCTTCCAAACTTCAAACCGAAAAGCAAAACCAAGA